CTATTTATACCGGTCGTCTAGATTAACTCGATCTATGTAATTCCGCTTATTAACAATACCGTTTTTACCAATTTCTCGAGTCTATCAATTTTGAAGTGTCAACTTTTATGATTTAGCGTTTGCAAGTGGCCAATACCTATTTTGAATCAAGATTTATGTGTTAATTAATTTGTGATTATCTAATTAATTTAACGTTTAAAATGATTTTACAAAAGTATAATGGCTAAGGAAATATGCTGGGTTAATTTAGTGTCGTAATTCTCGGTAAGTAATTGTCATATTTAAATGATATTCCAGCAAGATTATGACTGAAAAACAAGCTGTATTTGTCGTTAAACATAAATTTATATGATAAGTTGTCTCAAATTATGCACGTAGGTGAAAATTCAAAATAAGAGCAGCAAATTGTTCCATATACCAGAATTTTAACATACTAAATCGCCCACGCTAATAGCCTAAGATGCAGATTGCTTAGAAAATAAAATAAAATGCGTTTTGCTAAAAAAATAAACATTTGTTGATGTTAAACAAGGAAAAATATCCTAATTTTTTATAAAACAAAGATTAAGTTGTGTTATGACTCATAACACAACTTAATCTTTGTTTCATAACTTATGAGTCATAACTTATGACGACATAGTTTAACTATAATAAATCTTTTAAGAAACTTTGAATTAAAAAAATATTCAAAAACCGTTTGATATTTATAGTTCATATTTAAAGTTTCATAGCCAATAGGAATTGGCTCCATTAATCAATAAAGTAATTTTTTCTACTCCCACCTACCTAAACGCCCTTTATCATACATGTTTCCATGACACAAAGTGACCTTTTAAATACACATTCAAAAGTTGTGGCTTTATGGCGCTTTAGTCACGGGCTGAAGTTAGCAGCAGGTGTTTAATCACGGGCTGAAGTTAGTTGACAGTTGTCAGATGTCATACAATCGTTAAAATAAAGTGCCTTTCTTGTAAAATAATACTAAATGTGAAAATTATTATATTATCTCAATACAAAAATACAAAAGTATTAAATAGTTTCTCAACGCTAATATTTGAAAAGTTTATATGAACATTGTACTGACCTTTTAATTTTGCCGGCAGTAAACTATAACTTAAATTCGGGCACGGACTCCACTGTAAAGTGCTCATAAAACATTTTCTTTACTTTCACTGTGAAAAACTGTAAATTTTCAAGAAATACATTTCGATTTATAACCTTTATAATCTGTGTTTAAAAAATATAAAAATTTGGCATTTGACGGTGACACACAGATTCCCCTATTGTTTCATAGATGGCGCTCTATATATACGAATTTTTGATTTAAATCATTTTAAGATAATAATAAGTATTTGTCGTAGAAAAAGTATAGTATACACCTCGTTTATAAACTTTTCTATACACTCATTAATTTAAATTAAATTCGTGTATAAAATGGCGTTTATCAAACTCGATACATAATATACTATTAAAGATAAATAAAACGATTCATAATGTTATAATTGTATTTATAAATATAATGGTTCTGAGAAAGGTTTTACTTTATATATACAGCAAAATATGACCCATAAAAACAAATGATATAAAATTAAAATTATATATAATTTGTTTTTATGGGTCAATATTTTGTTTTCTTAGTTTTGGGACACCGTATGCTAATAACTTTACATATTTGATTTGTTTGTAAAATGGTGGGCAGATCGAATTTTAATTAGCATAAAAATGAAAACAAGATATAAAACATAAATCCAAACAAAATATCATGTAGTTATTCATTGTGAGGTCGAGCCTTGGGTGGGATACAAATGTTCCTTTTTGATTATAATACAATGTTTCAATTAAAATCAAGTAACTTAATACTGTAGGCAACGCAAGGCAATATAAAAGGACGTGAAGCAGGTCGTTTAAGCTGAGCATCTTCCTTCTTTTGTCATAGCTTTATTTACGGCCCCTCAAATACTTTATGGTGTATGTAAATGCGATTTTTTGACAAGTTTTATGCGCCCGCATGTACATACTGATGTCACTGTTATGCGAATTACATGCATTTTAACAATTTTTTTGGTGTTTTCTTTTCCAATAAAAATCATCTTAATTTTTATCAAATTAAGACATTTACTTCAGAAATATTAAATTAAGATAAGAAACAGCAAAAACTATTCTTAATTATCTCAGCTATAAATAATATTATTAACTGCATTAATGAAGTATACTTTTTATTATCGTTTGATGCTGGATTATTATTGGCATTAAGTTAATAAAACGTTAAGTTGGTATTGGTCGCCAAGCTTCATCTTTATTACTTTTGATTTTTAATATTACCTTGTTTAAAAAGTCAAATATTTAATTTTATATTTTTTTTGTTTACAGTTATAAATTTTATTATAAATATTACCATTTATGTTATTAATTTAAAACATGCGGTTTTCAGTTAATTTAAATATATACAGGGTGTTAACGAAAGGTTGCTGAAAAATTAACCAGGTGGTAGAACTTCTTCAAATATTTAAAAACATGTTTTACAAATATTGTTACTAGAAATGACTCCTAAGTGAGCTAAAGTCTCTGTAAAGCTTTATAAGAAAAAGAATGTCAGTGCAAGGTAATTGATGAACTTTAAATCAATTTACTAGAAAAGTGTGCATCTAATCGGGTTAAGAGACGGCGTTCTCTATATATAGAGAACGCAGTGGGTTAAGACAATACGACTTTTTTGTACATAAAAACTTTATTATTTAATAATGTTCGTCCAAAATCAGTGGCGTAGCTAGCCTCGAGGGGGCCCCGTATCAAAAATCTGGTAGGGGCCCTTATAAGGGAAAATCTGCTGGCAAAAAAATTTCTGGGTGTCACGCCTAACGTCTATTTTGGGCAAACTAAAGAAATTTTTGAGGGTATCATTTTTTTGCATTTACCAATTTTTTATAATTTAATAAATAATACATGTATACATAGTAGGGTGCTTCATTTTAGAGCGACATTATTCCCACCTGAAAATCTTGTAACCGGTCAGAAAACAAAAATTTTGAGCTATTACAATGCTCTTAATCTTTATTTTAAGCCGTTGCCATTCAATTTTTAAATATTTTCCTTTAAAAACCATTAAAAAACAATGTTTTATTCTTTTCTTCTTCCGCTCGTACAGTAAGAATATTTTTTTCGAATTTCGGTTCTAAAATCTTTATACAGTATGAAATTAAAAAAATTAAAATTCCCGTGTTATTGAAATGGAAAAACAACAAATGAATTGAGGCAAACCTTAATATTAATATTAAGGGCTCAAATAGGGGCCAAATTTTTTTTTAATTTACTATTAATTTTTTAACACCATTAGAAAAAAAATAATTCTTTTAATATATATATTGTGTATTGACTTTTTACGATTTTGGACAGGGGCGTAGCTACCTCGGTATCAGCCGATCAGTGATACGGGGCCCCCGGCTAGGGAAGGCCCAGATTGGCTTCGACATGTGTAAGCAAAAAACATATTACCCACATGTTAAAAAAATTAAATAAAAAAATAATATTATTTAATTGTTTATACTACGATTTATTCCATTAAAATTTTTCTGAATACCCTTCTGTTCCAACAAAGCCAACTCATACGAATTGTTTCTGTCCGCACCTTTACGCTATGCGGCGCAGTCTGCGCTTATTGTTCTGTGCTCTGCGCCGCGGCATACTGCGTCTGCTTTGCGTTTTATTATCATAGGTTATATTAATAGTAAATTAGAAATAATTATTAGCGTTACAATTGTTTCAAATGACTTGCCTTTATTTTAAAATAGAAACCTTTTAAAAGATGTTGAAGAACCACCTAAAAATCTTGTAACCGGTCAGAAAACAGAAATTTTGAGCTATTACAAAGCTCTTAATCTTTATTTAAAGCCGTTGCTATTAAATTTTTAATAATTTTCCTTTAAAGAACATTTAAAAACAATGTTTTATTCTTTTCTCCTTCCGCACGTACAGTAAGAATATTTTTTCGAATTTCGGTTCTAAAATCTTTATACAGGATAAAATTATCTTCAAAAATGTCTATTTAAGCAAGTCTGTAAGTTGAATATGTTCTTCACAAATTGCCGTTCCACTCGAAAATCTTCTAAAATAGTAGTAAATCGTATTTAGAGACTAAACTATTGATTTTAGATCAAAAAAGTAAATGACAATTTTGTAGGGAATTTTGTGTCCTACAAATTTAAAAAAAAATATTTTTCTGTATCACTTATAGTTTAGCCTGTAAAGCCTCTCAAAGTGTCAAATTTCTAAAAATTCAGTTTCTGACTGTAACTATACTATTCGAGTTACTGTACAAGGTGATACAGAAAAATATTTTTTAACAAATTTGTAGGGCACCAAATTCCCTACAAAATTGTCATTTACTTTTTTTAACTACAATCAATGCATTGGTCTTCAAATGCGATTTACTGCTATTTTAGAAGATTTTCGAGTAGAACGGCAATTTGTGAAGAACATATTCAATTTACAGACTTGCATAAATAGACATTTTTAAAGATAATTTCATCCTGTATAAAGATTTTAGAACCGAAATTCGAAAAAAATATTCTTACTGTACAAGCGGAAGGAGAAAAGAATAAAACATTGTTTTTTAATGTTCTTTAAAGGAAAATTATTAAAAATTTAATAGCAACGGCTTTAAATAAAGATTAAGAGCTTTGTAATAGCTAAAAATTTTTGTTTTCTGACCGGTTACAAGATTTTTAGGTGGGACTTTGAAAAAAAATGTCGCTCCAAAATGAAGCACCCTAATACATAGCTTTTTATGTACAAGGAAATTTTAAAATTTGGTCGGGTTTTAGACATTTACCGTTCTTCAACATCATTTAAAAGGTTTCTATTTTCTTCCGAATGCGATCTCTCTTTAAAGTTTTGCGCACACTGCAAGTTTTTAAAGTATCTAGCTAGATTTGTCGAGTTGTACACGTTTATGTTTTTTGTTGCAGGCGTACGAGCTGTCAACACTGACTGGGACGCAAGTGATGTTGCTGGTGGCTTCGGAGACGGGCCACGTGTACACGTTTGCGACGCGCAAGCTGCAGCCGATGATCACCAGCGAGGCAGGCAAGGCGCTGATCCAGACGTGTCTGAATTCGCCGGATCCTCCGGTGGGAGCCGCGGGCGGCGACCAGCGCATGTCCGCCACCGGCTTCGAGGAGACCGAGCTGACGTACAACATCAGCGACGAGGACAGCAAAGTAAGGCAAATGGTGTACGGTTCGCCGCACACTCACGCACACCCGCACTCGATCGGCCAGGGCCACTATTCGCACCTCGAGCAGAGCCACCTGGGGCTGGGCGGCTCGCCGCAGCACGGCGGCTACTCGCAAGCCTGTCCCAGTCCCCTGCCGCCTCCGCACCAGGGCTACGGCCACCCCCAACACCCGCACTCGCACATGCACTCGCATGCCCAGCGGTAGGGGCTGTGTAAATTTTATAGCCCAAATTGGGACGCGCTCTCGCTCTCTTAGTCATGAATTAGTTTATTTAATAATAACGAGAAATCCCAGGTCCATCCGTCCGTCGACGATGCGTCAAGCGATTACAAAGTGAATTTATGACCGCATTTTTCCAACACGTTCAGATATCAACTTAGATATACAAGGCCGGTTCTTTGAGGAGCTCTTCAATTTACTACCGAAAAGATCATTCCGACCTCTTTGTTGTAACCACCATCTGAATGAGCAATTACCAAACATAAACCATTATAATTGAACACATTCATTTTGGATTTACGTTCGCTATACCGCAATTAGTAGACACAGTTTTATTTATATTATATCCGACGACTTTTCAATTCACAACACATCAAGTAATAACACATCGTATCCGTTGGATGTCGAAATTGAAGAATCGTCAAGTAAAAAACTACCGAAATTATTATTATAATTACTAAAGGCGTAATGAATTGCTTCGGTCTGAAAATGCAAACAATTCCAACAAAACGGCTCTAATTAAAGATCGAAGTCATTAATATGCTTGTCTGGATTCTTTTAATGCACGATTCATTTATTAATATCCTTTTATTTAAAACCCGGGATAAATTTGATTTGATTTCAGCTTATCTCGCTGATACTAACCTCATTAAAATACAAAAAGAGCATAGTAAATATTGAATAAATATGAGTTGTGTAGTTAATGTGATGCAATTAACATTTCATTTTATAGGTATCTAGTTGGGAAATACGCGCAGAAAATTATTAACATAATTATGGATCTGTGTGCATTTGTTTCTTACATTTTTTTCCGCCCGATTAATTCCGGTTACTATCGCAATTACTTGTCGATTTAACGCTCGCACTTGTTAATTTGCAGATTCATATTCGCTCTTATAAAATCTTGTTTATTTTGCCGTCTAACGTTTCCATTATTTCACGCCCCGTGGCAATAAGCGGTTTAATGTGTAACAAATGATGGGACATAAATTTATCTTCGTGCTACATGTGTGTATATCCCATTTAAATAAATTCTTCATATTTTATACTCTACAACCACTAAATCTTTTTTATTTTTTTTGCCATTATTTATGTATATATGATAATTTTAATTTAATTTGGTATTGATTGCAGTTAGTAATTGCGAAAATATGCGTTGAATACGTTGGTAATATATACACATTAACAATAGCACCTCGTTATGAACAATCATTTATTCACTGGGACATTTATTGCTTATTAATTACCTTATTAAGTATTTTATATTGTTTGGTAATTGCGAATTGGACAATATTGAATTATTAATTTTATTATCACTTACCTACAAATAAGTAGCAGGGATGTTGAGGATGCAGAATTTTTGACATCTGCAGATTTAGGTAATTTTTAAAAATCTTTTTTTTATAATCAAATGTTTATAGGAAAATTTAAAAATTGCTGCATTACTTTGAGTATTAAATTTTATGGTCTAAGGTGCATTATATTTAATTATTGTATGTTTTAATCTAGTTTAAAAAAATGGTGGCTTTATAAAGCCACCATCTTTTTTCGCCGTGTATAATCTATTTGACAAAGTGAATCTTTATAAAGATTCACTTTGTCAAATAGATTATACACGGCGAAACAGATTTCTTAAACGCTGGCCCCGTCCACAATTTATCCCGATGTCAACAACATCCGCATCCGCAAAAGATCAGCATTGATTCTTGCATATGCGGATGCCAAGATTAATGCGGAAGTTCGGCGGTGGTGGGTGCGGATGCGAATATCTGCAACATCCCTGGCCAGCAGCACCGTTAAGTAAATTTTTTATTTTACAAATATTTAAGAAATTTTGAATTCAACTTCAATAAGGATATGTACAGTAATATGACTAATTTGAACAAATAAGTTTTCAGATATTAGGCCAGAAAAAGCATATATTAACCCAATACTTTTATACTGGTTAAAATTTATTATTTTTTTTGTTTAAAAATGCATAAATAAAATAGCATATAATCTGGTTTATCCGAATCTTAAAATAACGTTTTGATAAACGCATAGAGGCCAATCGGCCAAACGTTAATGTTAACGTACTTTTAAAATACTGTCAATTTTATAAGCTACATTTTTCTAACCTCATTTTTTAAACTAAACAATTTTAAAATGTTTTACAAACCATCCCATAAGAAAGAAAACCAACTAAATTGGTCCAGTGTGGGAATGGACATTCCACGGTCGAAGTTGCTAGCTCTGTTTCGCTGGAGCGTAGAGCGCAATATTAAGCAGCGTACATTCGCGTGTTTTTTTTTAATTACGCATCAATGCATTAACAAAAAAGTATGTAAATTTCAAAGTTTTAATACCTATTAAATTGGGTCAAAAAGACCAAAAATATTATTTAAAAAGAAAAACGTCAAAATGTCCATTGGTCATTTTATAGAAAACTTCAAAACCTTCAAAATTTTAACAAAAAAATTATTTTAAAAAATAGCACAAAAAAGGAGAAAACTATTTCAAAGAAAAAAATGGTTGATGTTTTTTAAATATATCTAATTAAGCAACAGCGCATCGGAAAGCAAAATAGGTTTTATAAAAAATGTAGCTCTAAATTACCAGCATTTTAAGTCTGAGAAAAATGTTTTTTTTCATGTTGGCGGGGCATAGCGTCGCGGGGATTGTTATCAATCAGAATACACGCTATTTAATTTTTTCTCGTTTGATTAAAAAAAAATCCAACCGGTAAAAAGTATTGGGTTCCCTATATAAAATCTTTTACTGGCCTATATACGTTTATTAAAATCTTTTTGCCTTTTTTGTGTGCAAATCTATACTAAAAATATTTTAAATCCTATGTAATTTTTTTTAATTCTTAGTGCAGTCAGGGAAAATAGTAATGCACTTTTATTACGGCCGTACCTAAAAATGTAAATTTAATGAAATTTAGATATGTAACAAATTAAAACTAAACTAAAATTGTTTTAAAACATATATATTTTGGAGATGTCTTAAAATGTCCTAAAGCTGTCTAAAATAACCCAAATTGTATTAAAACTGTATAAAATGACCTAAAAAATTGTAAAATTACCCAAATTGTAATAGAATTGTTTAAAAATGTCCTTTCAAATGAGTAAAATCACCCAAACTGTCTAAAATGACCATAAACACCATTATAATAATGATTAAAGAGTTTATAACCATTTACCATTTTCTCTGACTGTAAGTACAATTTGACTGAGCTACTACTTTGAGCCAATTAAATTACCATTTAGCGTAAAATCTCTTTCGACGGCTTTAATATGAATTTGGTCGTTGCGGTGCGCAACAACAAAGAGGTTTTTAATTGCGTGGGAAATTTTAGAGACTTCTTTAACGCTTACGCAGTGCTAACCGGCAAACAAACAGAATTAATCGGCTCGATGTAAGGGCCTCGCGATGCATAACTAAATCTTGCCTTGTCTATAAATTCCCTCGCGATAGCCAATCCTCAATTCAGCTTATTTACAAATTTCTATTCTGAATTCATGTGTAGGAAAAAACACCATGTAAAAAATTTATATAATAAGGATTTTGAAATTGTTAGTAATCATGACAAGTTAATATTTAAGAAAATTTCCAAATTCAATTTGGTAGTTTGAATTTTTTTTCTAAAAGTTGCCATTATCTTACAATCTAAATAAAATTTGTAACAATATAAAATAATAATTACTTATTTTAATTTGTCCATAAATTTAAAATAATTTTGCATACAAAATTTTTTACTATATCTTTTAAAAATATTTTTTTTTATATCAAGAAAGTATTTTTTTGTACAGGAATTTTTTTTTCGGGTTTAGTAAAATTTAACATACAAAACAAAATATTTTATCTTAATATTACAGTCTGTGTTCTTCTTCATTAAAATAATAATTATGTGTTGGCGTTGCCAAATATGAAAGGTCAAATGTAACGAAAAACATTTTTTCTCCATTATCCGACACGATTTCGCTTGAAACTTTTAGGACATTATTATTAGTGCATATAAACACGATTTTTTTCCAAAGATGGGTCGATTTTTCTCATAATTTGATATTTAATTTAGATTTAATATTTTCAGTTACCTATAATTATAATAATAATAACCTATAATTATAATAAAATAGTAGAGATATTTCTTTAAATGAAAATGGGCTTTTACCTCATATACCTAAATATAAAAAATGTTTTACTTTAATTTGATATTTCAAACACAAGAGATTAAGAATAAATTAGAAATATTTCAACAGATTTTCGAAATGATGTTTCCAGGAAATACCCATAGGGCTCGAGTGTCTATTGCCAAATGGCAACAGGTTTGAGAACATAAAACGAATACCACGTTTGATTATTTTTATCAAACCATCTGGCCCCACGGGCTCTCTTGTCTATTTCTTGGCAACAGGGTTTGGAAAATCTTTTGTTGGTAGATTATTTTCACTATAATAATGTTTTGATTTTGTAAATGACTAAAATTAAAAGTTTCTGTTTGTTTTTAGAAACGTCAAAAAATAATATTTATAAATATAATGGTTAGGGTTGTTTTTTCATACCTATGAACCAAAACAGCACCATTGTGATATTAATTTAAAATAATTCGTTTTATTTTTTGGACAATATACAGAAATTATTGACTTTTGATCCAAATAGATTTTTTTTTTCATTACATATCAAGAATTTTTCCTACGCTATTTTCGGGAATTTTAATCACTAAAATTAATATCGCTGAAACAAATTTAAACCATTTTATATATTTTTATTTAGCAAGTCTTTATCAAAATATTTATCCAAAAATAATAAATGCTATTTTTTATAATTATAAATTTGGCAATAGATGTTGTGAATCACAACTTGTGATGGTTAACGGTTGGGAAGGACTGAGCTACAATTCCTCAAAAACCGAGCATTGACCAACTTAAAGTTTGAATAATTCATTTTGAGTCGGACCTCACGCATTTTCGACGCGATATTTATTTTGTTTCTCATCGTTGAGTTTTTCGTAACAGCTGTTTATCTGCGCTGCTGCTGCAGATAATCGGAAATTCGCACCTTGTTTATATAAATTGCGGCCAGGCTCGCAAGAGGATTGGCATTTTGATAACTTTGGCAGCGTATTAAACGTTACAATTAGAATTCTTCTAGATCGTTAACATTATGTAAAGGGTGTCAAGCTAAGATTTTTATGCTCGAAAACGTTAATTGCCCAGAATAAAATATCGCATTGTAAAATGTTTTA